TCTATTTCTGGATTCCCCCCTGGATTCTATACTATTTTTCCTAGTCTACACCTCTACCGAAACCTGAGATTCCTCTAAACAGGCTATTTGGCAAATAAGCACCGGACATCGGTCACTAGCTTAAAATGGTTACTTGATTTCATTCGATATTAATGAGGACCTTATTTGAAAACCACCCGAATTGTGACGTTGAGTGCGACTGCTAATCACCACATGGCAATCGTACTAGACGTCACAAAACATTTAATATCGTCCCATGCCCCAATTAGTATTGAAAGCTGCCGTCTAGTAAGTCAATCTGCCAATGAAATAAGAAGTCTCATTCTTCAGAGGAATATCTGCGTAACATTTAGGGTGCGATACGGCTACGCTTTGAGAATAAGGAACAAGAAAAAAAAACAAAGAAAACAACAACATGGATACACTACCCACCAGGAAAGCCTCGATGACCAGTAGACCTCCTTTGGCCACGAATTGGTTCGTGATTTCAGCATAGCCAAGGATATCTTCTAAATGATCCGTCAATTCCTGGAAGAGATATGTAGTATTGAAGCCTTAAAAATATAGACTAGTTATGCGCAACCTCAATTTTTCCGATATCATTTTCATTGAGATCAGCTGGGCTTGATGCATAGGAGTGCAAACTTTTCAAGATTGCATCCATCTGCCGCGATGGATCGCTTTCTTTCACCAGATCCTTCATCACTGCTTCGAGCCATCTGCGATTCTGAAGAAACGTTTTTTAGACAACCAGAAAACAGGATTTGGGTACAGGCCACATGACCGATGCGTAGTCTCCTGGAAACACCGAGTACGGGGGTGAGCCACCCCCCCCCCCGTACTCGGTGTTTCCAGGAGACTACGCATCGGTCATGTGAGTTTACATTCACGGGAAATTTCTAAACGGATTTAAATCTTCCGATACGCGAAAAGAAAGCCCGCAATAGCCACCTAGTCGTTACATATGGGCTTTTTCGATGAGTAACCTTACACTACATTTCCATCTCATTATGCCAGAAATCGGAAATAATAAAAAAACAAAAATAACTTCGCATTGCGGTAGCCGAGGTGGCCAGCACGAGGTCAGCACGCGCACAGGCCAACGAGGGTTTCTACCCCGCCGGTGGATCGGTACAGTTGGTAGAATCGCGTGGCTGCGTAAAAACACCGAATTGCGTCGCTCCCGCATCCCAAAAAGGGGCTGGTCAGCGGTGAAAGCATCCTCGAACTTTCAGTTATTGCAGGAGAAATTTACAAAATAAATTGGCGAGTTCCTCTAGCAGTAACTAAATTCAACTTGAGCTCAATCAGAGTACCCCTCCATTTTTCTCTCAACTTTACCAAC